GGTACGGGGTACGGGGTACGGGGTAGGGGTTAGGGTTACGGGTTAGGTTAGGTAGGTACGGTACGAACGTAGTAGTACGTAGACGTAGTACGTACGTACGTACGTACGTCTCTCTCTCTCTCTCTCTCTCTCTCTCTCTCTCTCTCTCTCTCTCTCTCTCTCAAGATGGGCAGGAGTAAAGACTGAGACTGTGATTGCTCTCTCTCCCTTTGTTTCCCCAGAATCCAAATCTCTCCTGGAATTTGCTGGTATTTTTGGTACTCTATATAATTTTCTATTTTGTGAGTTCCATTATTTTTGGTTTTTTTTTACATATTGATGTGGGATTGGGTTTTATTAGTTGTCTTATGAATAATGAATAGTTTGTAAGTGTGATTATATCAGTAATTGATTATTACCCCTTATCTGTGTTTCCTTTTTTGTTCCATCAAAGTTCATGGGGCGGGACTTTCTGTTTGCTTCTTTTCTTTCCCAATAAACTTTGTATGTTTTTCTGTTAGGGCTCTATTGAAAATCAGAGTTCTCCTCGTGTAAATTCAAGTTAATTTTTACTTATCAAATCCCTTAGGGCAAGGTTCTTTCAAAAATCTGCTATAATCTTAGAACAGTGTTTAAGAAATGGGAAGCGGATACTGGATCGCCAGGAGTCTGATTCTGTTTCAACCACTTCCGACAGGAGCAAGGATACAAATGAAAAAAAATGTGAGAGAAAAACTGAAAACCGAGGGGAATTGGTTGATTCCAGTGTTGGATCGAATGGGATCACCAAACCACCGGCTCCATTTCAAACATGGCGATTCAGGTTCGAACCAGCAATTATCTAGACATTGTCTTGGACTATAAAGGTTTCCTTGGATGAAGGCGCCCTTGGCGATCCAGTGGCCGATATTGAGAAATATTGGAAATCTTTGGGAGAGGTGATTTGACATTGCGTTTTACTTGACATTAATGGAAGCTATAAATTTACACCAATTAGGGTTTACTTGACATTAATGGAAGCTATAATTTTACACCAATTAGCTGCCTCTTCGTGTGAAAAGATGCACGGGGATCAATTGGTGTGAAAATATTATCACATGTAATCATGCAGGGAATTTTTCACATAAAAATATTTTTCAAAAAATATTTCATGCGAGAAGAATATTTATCTTTTTATATTTCCATTGAAAAATAAACCATGGCCAAACCAAGTAAAAAGTAACACAAAGGAATCAACGGATCAGATTCTCTACAAAAATATTGCCCCATCTTAATCAAATGAATGTAAATGCGAAGAAAATGCATTTTTTAAAGGAAATAATGTCTCCAAAAAGTCCAAATAACAAGCCTTGTCAATAAGCGAGTGGAGCCCTGCATACCTACCAAGTCCACGTATTTGCATTTTGAAAGCAAAAAAATTTGAATTCAAATTGGAACTTATAGGCTCCCATTTTGTCAGCTTGGTGCCCACACTATTATCAAGGATCCAAAAGTTGGCATGAAAAAGTCCACGTACGGTTGCTTTCTTGTGTTTCACATACAGTAGATAAAATGAAGAAGCATCAGTATTTTCATGGAAGAGCCTAAAGACTCCGAATCTGCCCAACTAGGAAAAAAGAAAGAACAAGTCCAAATCCTATTAAATAAAAAATACCCGCTGTGTCAGGTCCTCTTACATCCATAAACAACTGAAATTTGCTACAAGAAAGGAGATAAAAACATAACAAAAACTAGACTCAATCCTGAATAAAAATACTATCTTACTTCATCTACCAGAAACTATGTTGAAAAACCTCATTGGATCACTCATTTTAAAGTTATGGAACCCCAATTCATTTTGCTGTACCGTCTAATAATCGATAGGTTTAGATGATAACTCATTTTGGAATCCAAGAGTCTCCATGAGACGAAGACAGTGAGACCCACTCGAAGGAACCTTCGGAGACCTGCCTGACCTGTATCCGAAGTAGAAGTGAGAAGGAAAATAATTTTAGCAAAAACATCTTAGTCTTCCTTATCCCCAGGCTGATAGCCTTCACCATCTTTGATTTCTGAACGTGAACTTTCAGAACTTTCTGCAATCTCTCTCCGAGTTTGTCCACGATCATCATCATCTGGTCCACTCAGGGTTTGGATAAGCATAACAACCGCAACTACAAAGATGATAAGGTACACAGTCCTCATGCCGATAAGGGAATTGATGTAACCAATGAAAGAGGGCCCACTGATGCTTTTCTGAATCGTTCTCCCTTCTCTGTATCCTTCAAGGAAACGGCTTATTTGGGTGCCTTGGTCTTCTTCTTCATTGATATTTTCAGAACCCACAACCTTTACGCATTAAACAAAATCAGCATCAGATAGAGCAAAGAGATATAATTGTAACTTATTAGGCTTTTGAACAGTAGATCTTTAAGCTCAAAGAACTTACAGGGGCATAGCGCAATAAGACAGTGAAAGCAAGATTAAGAAATTCAGAGGTAAAAACCTATATTAGCAAGTCACATTTATTTTATGAGAAATTAATTTAAACAAGATTAGGAAAATTAAGGGCCCAATGAAACACGGGCATTAGTTGTCAAGGAGAATAAAATAAGACAACATAATGGCATTTTTCAACATTAACAATGTAAAACCTCACTTTGGACCCCATTCCCAAAACAAAAAAAAAAGGAATCACTTTGCATTCTGAAAAAAGTGAAAAATCAAGAAGCCTTACATGATTTAAGCCATTATAATAGATTGTGACATAGGCATGATTGCACACGCACATGCATGCACGTGCACACACACATGCATGCACGTGCACGCACACACACACATGCATGCACGTGCACGCACACACACAACACAAGCACACACGTGCACACACACACACACGGACAGGAAAAAAAAAAGGTAAGATAACAACCGAATAATCTATATTTTATAACAAAACCCAATGATCATGAGAAACGAAACCACATATGAAATCTGTCTAGGTCAAACTGGGATGTATATCCCTTGGAGATGATACTTGGAAAGTAAAATTCCCAACGGAATATTTGTAATAACTTCATATTTACCATTTGGCAGCACACAATTCTCTCCTTTATGTCATTAAAGATACAAATTATTGATTCCATGAAGACTGTTTCTTAGATTATCGATGGCTTTAGTGTTAGCCATCATTAGCCATTACAAAAGAAGGGATCAATAACCACTTATTAAGCTTTTCCATCCACATTTCTTAAGAATTACTTAAATGTAAGAAGTGTGAAGGTTAATGATCCTTTAACCTGCATGGATCTCAGCCATATGGAGTAATATGATTGAAGGGAAACTACATGCACTAACCCCTATAAGTAGAGATGAAACCTTTGGATGTTTGCATCGAGGAAAATTTTAACAAAATTTTTATGCACAATTCATTGAGATCATGTTAATTGGATCGCTCATGAATTCACGGCTGATCCATAGGTTAACGTGAATTTTCTGAGAGTTGCCAAATGTCAGAACCCAAAATTTGGCATCAGAATCACAAACAGTTGGCGAATGCTCCCCTTCGTCCAAACCTTCCAAGTGAAAAAATTGATTTGCTGGATTGGTTGTAGCAAAAAAGGTGGAACAAAACTACCCCTACGAGAACTTCAATAATGCTGGTGTTTTGAGTGAGTTTAATAGATGATATTGCTTATTTTGCTGCAAATGATTATCGCCATCAAGCTTAACAGATTCACCTGCACCCCTAAAGTTTCCTTACATAAGGTAAGGGTATTTTCATCATTTCTTTTCATATAGACAAAGACGAGAAATAATATACAAAAAATAGTAAAGTTTTTGGAGAAGTTCAAACATAAAACACAAGGGATGAAAGAAAAGGGCTGGGCAGATTTTCTCAACTTATCACAGCCATTAACACACACAAGATGGTCAGATTATCAAAGTGATTCTAGAGCGTCAGATTGGATTGCTGGTGGCGTGATTTCTTAAATTTAATTTGTGATTAAGCATTGATAGTTTCTGTTTAGTGGCTTGTACTAGAACTTGGGTAGAATAGGCATTATGGTACAGTAAGCTAGAGCAGTTTAGAAGTTTCTCAAATCATTGACAGTATTTTTGTCATTATGCTGATTAGGGTTTCGCATGGAAGTTAATTACATTTAGTGTTGCGCAGGGAATTCTATAAAGGACGTGGTTAGCATGCAGCCAAGCCCACACATGTAGAAATGCGGGCATGACAATAAAAATATTTTTGAAATATAATTCGATCCTAATTTTTAGAGAAAATATAATCTATAACATGGAGATCATGAATATGAAAAAATAAATAAATTTTGAAAACTAGAAATAATAGTTATATTAAGAAAACATTTGTACAGTTAGTTACAATTGTTTTTAGATGGACCACCTATTTGCATCCATCTTTAAGATGGATGCTTTATACCTCAGGACAGCATACTGTACATATGCAGTCCAGCCCGCATCAAACAATTGTTCTTCTATAAATACCTCTGATCCTGTTAACTAGCCTTTCAAATTATGGGGGAGAAGAAACAAACGAGTAAATTTTCATTCTCCCACAATGTTGCTGTTGGTCCGACTAAGTTGGAAAGATCCCTTTCCCCTCCATTGATGTTGATAAAGAAAAGTACAAGATTGGTCGTCTTTTTGATGTGAAAACTTGAAGAAACAGTAGAAATCAGCAAGAAACGGTAGAACTAGGAGAAACATCAGAAATCAGCTTTGATACCAATTTGATGTAGAGAACTTGAAGAAACAGTAGAAAACAGCAAGAAAAGGGGTTTTGAGCTACTGTCTTATTAAATTTTTAATTGGCAAATTCTACCCGTGACAAAGTGTGGTGTGATATTGAGTCTATGGACACTTGCCACATACTGTTTAGTCGCCCATGGCAGTATCGTTGCTAGTTGTTCCATAATGGGGAAGGTAGGATGGCCATAAGGGTTGCTTTGTTGTTATTACCGGATGAGGACCTACCTAATTCCATTAAGGAGGAATGTGTGACTTACTCTTGTTTCAACAATTTATGGAGGCGAGTGTTAAAGGTGATTGGAAAGGATTTGGAGAAACACCATTCAATGCTCAAAACCCTTAGCCTTTAATTTGGGAGTTTGTTGATCTTATGCCGTATGAGCTGCCAGCTACATGGCCACCAAGGAGACAATATACAACATTGCATTGACTTCATGCCAGAATCTAGTTTGACTAGTTTATAGGCGTATCAGATGAGTTCTAAGAGAATGAAGAATTACAGCATCAGATTGATGAACTGACGTCTAAGGTGCTGATTCAAGCTAGTATGAGCCCATGTGCAGTGCAGGCGTTGCTTGCACCAAAGAAGGATGAGGCTTGGCACACATGTGTCGACAGTCAAGCCATAAACAAGATTACAGTTAAATATCAACTTCCTATACCAAGGCTTGAGGGTCTGTTAGATATGCTGGCCGGTGCTTCAATGTTCTCAAAAATAGATTTGAGTAGGTATCACTAGATCAGCATTCGAGAAGGGGATGAATAAAAGACAGCCTTTAAGACAGAGTGGTTTGAATGGGTGGTTTGTAATGTCATTCAGCTTATCTAATGCACCCAATACTTTAATACAAAGATGACTCACGTATTGCATGACTTTATTGGGCATACTATGGTGTATAGTGCAGATCTAGAGGCACACCTCAATCATTTGCATCAAGTGCTCAATGTGTTGTGGGCAGAAAAATGGTACATCAATTTTAAGAACTGCAGTTTCTTAACTAACAGTTTAGTATTCTGGGTTTCGTAGCATCTTCAGAGGATGTTATGGTGAACCTGGAGAAGGTTTGGGCGATAGTCAATTGGCCTATAACTAAGACTGTTACTAAAGGGCAGAGTTTCCATGGACTTGCTACCGTCTATATATGGTACATTAGGAATTTCAATATTATTATGGCCCCAATCATAAAGTGCCGAAAGAATAATGTTTATCAATGGAATCCCACAGCTACCAAGGCATCCAATGAGATTAAAGAGAAGATGCATGCTCCTGTCCATGCTTTGCCTGACTTCACTAAGGTACTCGAGGTAGAGTGTATGTAACTCATGTGGGAATCCGAGCTGTATCAAGGTAGGAGCAAAGGCTTGTTGTGTTCTTCAGTGAGAAGCTCAATGAGATGAAATGACATTATTTGATATATGATATTAAGTTCTATGCAATTATATATGTGCTTTGTCATTGGAGCCACTACTTGATCCAACATGGGTTCGTTCTTTACACTATCCATGATGCACTCGAGCATATAGTTAACAACCATAAGAAGTTGAGCGCGAGCCACCCAAAGGGTAGCCCAGTTACAGGAATTTACATTCACTATAGGCCACCAGTTCATGGAGCAAAACAGGGTGATTGATGCTCTCCGTAGTCATGTTCATTTGGTGAGGTCTTTGGCGGTGGAGGTACTAGGTCCGAAGTATTGCATGAGACTCATAGTTATCAGGATCAGGAGCGAGGGATTGTGAAAGTCTAGAAGTTCCTTACGGTATAGATACCCGTCCATACAATACATATGTTAGGGATCTTGATCCCAAAAGACCATTTGGGATCTTGATCACAAAGAGATCCCAATCCCAACCTTTTGGGATCTCCCAACCTTAAAAAGTATATAAGCCTGGGATTGTATATACTCTTTAAAGTAGGAAGCACCTTGTCTATAGCCAGCTAGTAATACGACTATGGAAAATTTCGTATAGAACCCTAATTCCTCGTATTTTTCATGGTAGACCCTCCTTCCATTTTTCTTTCAAGCGGCATAAGAAAACCCCTAAAGATTTCACCATACCCCCTCGTCTCTTATCTCCCTCTTTTATTGACTTTTGATCATAAAAATTAGCCCAACAAATCTTTTATACCATTTCAACCCAAAAAAAATTTAATGGGCGAAAAAGGTAAAAGAGGGTTAAAAACGTTTTTGGGATGAAATGGTATAAAAAGATTTGTTAGGGCTAAATTTTATGGTCAAAAGTCAATAAATGAGGGAGATAAGAGATGAGGGGGTACGGTGAAATCCTTATGGATTTCCTTCTGCCGCTTGAAAGAAAAACGGAAAGAGGGTCTACCATGAAATAATATGAGGAATTAGGGTTTTATACGAAATTTTCCCTTAAAAATATGGATGTTGCATTGCTAGCCTATAAATTAATAGAATCGTCAATTTGGAAGTTATCTTGGTCTTAAGTTGGGGATCGAGATCCCTAATAGTAGAGATCGTGATGCCAAAATTTTAAAATCGAGATCACTTGAAGATCCCTTTCCCAGAGTGCTAGAGCGAGATTCCGCAAGGGGATCGCCACCTGAG